ATTTGTCTTATTTCTGATTTGACCATGTAGACTAGATCTGTAATTTGTCTTATTTCTGATTTGACCATGTAGACTAGATCTGTAATTTGTCTTATTTCTGATTTGACCATGTAGACTAGATCTGTAATTTGTCTTATTTCTGATTTGACCATGTAGACTAGATCTGTAATTTGTCTTATTTCTGATTTGACCACGTAGACTAGATCTGTAATTTGTCTTATTTCTGATTTGACCATGTAGACTAGATCTGTAATTTGTCTTATTTCTGATTTGACCATGTAGACTAGATCTGTAATTTGTCTTATTTCTGATTTGACCATGTAGACTAGATCTGTAATTTGTCTTATTTCTGATTTGACCATGTAGACTAGATCTGTAATTTGTCTTATTTCTGATTTGACCATGTAGACTAGATCTGTAATTTGTCTTATTTCTGATTTGACCATGTAGACTAGATCTGTAATTTGTCTTATTTCTGATTTGACCATGTAGACTAGATCTGTAATTTGTCTTATTTCTGATTTGACCATGTAGACTAGATCTGTAATTTGTCTTATTTCTGATTTGACCATGTAGACTAGATCTGTAATTTGTCTTATTTCTGATTTGACCATGTAGACTAGATCTGTAATTTGTCTTATTTCTGATTTGACCATGTAGACTAGATCTGTAATTTGTCTTATTTCTGATTTGACCATGTAGACTAGATCTGTAATTTGTCTTATTTCTGATTTGACCATGTAGACTAGATCTGTAATTTGTCTTATTTCTGATTTGACCATGTAGACTAGATCTATAATTTGTCTTTTACAGGAATCCGGTGAAATAGATTTGATGATGTTGAGTTTAGCATACATTGATTGAATACTTTGGACAATGACTGGGCTACATTCATTCTACCACAGTAAGTATGTCCACCACACCAATAGGTATTTGAAACCACCATTAAATTCTAACTACCGTAAAAACTCGATTAATTCGCGTTAGTAAAAATAAGTGTCAAGTGTGCGAATTAATAGCGTAAAACAGAAAATTCTTCGTTTTTGTTGCGCGAATTAAAAGAGTACTTTTAGATCGATTCAAAAAGGAGCTGTTTTCATAAATTTATAGTGATTTGTTTTGTTTTTC